TGTGTTTTGACAAAGGTTGCCGAGTTGTTCCAAGCGATTCCCCGAGCGGCCCATAACGACGCGGGTGGCCCTCAGAGATTTGCGAGACATCTCCGTGTCGAGCGGTTCCGAGAGTTGTCCAGCATTTGCTGAGCTGTTTTCTAGGTCCGCAACAGGTTTCCCGAGCGGTTTGTAAGTGATTGAGCGGCTCGGCGCCGACAGGTCACAAGGTCCCGGCTTCTTGCTGGGGTGGCCAGGGTTCTCCACGAAATTCACCGGGCTTGAACCGCCAACTCAAAACACCTGGAGGGACGGATTGTTGTTTCTGTGTTGGTATCAAGTACCGAGTCTTGTTGCGCTGTGTCACAACATGTCAGTGACGTGCCAGCAATCACTCTAAATGACTAAATGTTGCCGCCAATCTGTGTTCGATGTTATGAATCAGATCAGTTCCTCTTGACATCGTCATTGAGCATTTTGCGTAGCCATATGAATGTACATGGGCGACTTCCCAAACATAGCATACTGATCTACGTCACATGAAGCGGGTGTGGATGCGTTGTTGAACTTAATTCTTTCACGTGGCCTGGCATTGCACAATTGCTGCTTGCCGCTTGTCTGCAGAGCAGCCACAGCAGGCTGCACAAGCGAAGTGTGATTTTTGCATGGCTACACCTATCACGTTGTTGTGTGTGGCGAAGCAACAGCAAAGTGCCCGCCCTTCCCGGCATGACAGAGCAGTTCGACAGAAAGGGGGCCATCATTTTGTGGAAAGCCATTCCCGCCGTGGCGTCTTGAACTAGATTAATGTGTCTCGGAGCTTCCTGTCAACCTGGTCACAGAAACAAAAAATGTGTCTCGCTGAGTTTTCGATGTGTTGGATTTGCATAGCTAGCTGTAATGTTTTACATCTGCAGGGTCTCGGCACTAGATTGCAGAGTCTTCAATAGTAGTTTGGGGAGGGTCGGACAATCCTGCCGCCATGGCATCTTCTTTGTTCCGATGGCCGTTCAGCATGTTCAACGAGGGAGTTGAGCATGATGAAAGTGATGGGTTGCAGCACTTGCGCGATGCCTTGGAGAAGGCCGAAAGGCAAGTATCGTCTTCAACAAGCGACAGCGAGGAAGAACAGGAACGCAAAGAGGAGATCCTTGATGGGTTGCGTGCGAAGTTGGAAGAGTTCGAAGTTGAGACACAGAAGAAGGTCAGGATCACCATTTGCAGCGCTGTCAGTGGCGAGTCCATCGCACAAGTGCGGCTAAGATCTACAGATTTCGTGGTTCAGCTCTGCGAAGCAGTTGTGAAGGAAACGAGTCACAAGGTCGTCGTGGCTCACTCTATCATTTTCCAGTCCGAGGCAAGCTTGCTGCCCATTAATCGGAGTCAGTTTCCTTGATTGAGCTGTCGTGTTGCAGGTCTTACCCCAGCACAAGACCATCAGCGAGGTGCTTTTCTTGTGTCTGCAGGGCCCAGTGCAAGAGCATTTCCTGCCCTTCTGTTTGACAGAAGCTGTCCATGCAGGCCGGCTTGCAGGATGGCGATACCGTCTATGTGGCTAGAGCTCCGGTAAGATGCCTGACAGCATCGCATGACGGTACTGCAGCTGGCGCGACAATCGAGCAACAATTTCTTTGAAGTTTGCCCTTAATTGTAGAAGAGAGCGTCGGACGGGAGCTGTTTGTCTCCAACAAAGGCATGCCTGTGGAATTTCGATCAAGACATGAGCAACTCGCCTGAAGCTGGTTCCGGCCAGCCTCTTCGCCTGCATGCGCAGGGAGCTCTGAAGAATGCAAGCATGTCTCCTGGTGGCCAGCTGTTGATGTTGTCCACAGAGGATGGAGGCAGTGGACTCTTGTATTGTGCAGAGACATTGCGATTTCTCAATCGATTGCAGGGGGGTGCTCAAAGTGCTTCTTTTTCAGCAGACGGGCAGAAGGTAGTAGGAGTTGATGCAGATGGCAATGCAAACATCTGGTGTACGCGAACCGGCCAGATCATGCACCGCATGTTTCCTCCAAAAGCATCCTCGTCCCAGTTGGACTCAGACTCTGACGACGACTCTGAGATGACTTTCGCAGTTTTCTCAGCTTGTGGCAAGTTCATCGCGACAGGCTCAGGTTCGTGCACGCAGCTCTGGGATGCATCTGGAAACCTCCAGTTTACCCTCAATGGCCACACCGGGACCGTCAGGCATGCTGTATTTTCAGCTGACAGCCAGTATCTGTTAACTGCATCTGCAGACTCAACAGCAAGAGTTTGGAGTTGCGGGAATGGCAGATGCATGCGGGTTCTCAGTGGTCATCAGCGCGCCCTCACCATGTGCGCTTTTTCTCCAACAGGATTGCAGGCCATCACCGCGGCTCATGACGGGACTCTGAAGTTGTGGGACCTTGCAGATGACATCACTGATGGATCGCACACGGACTGCACGCTGAGCCTTGAAGCCGACGGTGGCGTTGTCAGTTCAGCTTGCTTCTCGCCCGAAGGTTCGCGGCTTCTCATGGCATGTGGATCTGACACAGTTCGCATCTTCAATGCCGCAACCGGACAAATGCAGCTCTCCTTCGAAGGCTTTCATGAGGACTGGGTTCGCTGTGCCAGTTTTTCTCCAGACGGCCTGATCGTTGCCACCACATCTTATGATGGAGCAGTTGGCATTTGGCCTCTTGGTTGGACTTACGCACACATTCCTGTCACTTTTGTGTGTAAGGCTGTCACTCTTGTTCGGAGTCGGCCAGTAGGCGTGTTTGGCTCAACTGCTCAGGAGTGCGACCACCGGGAAGTGCTTGCACTCACTCCACGGGCATACGCAGGCGGTTGTGGTTGCGCAGTTGGCGGCTGCATAGGTCGGGCTCCCAGTCGGTGATTCATCACGGAAACGTGAAGCGATGTCAGGTGTGATGAGCATACCCTAGCATCCTTGCCTAGGGCCTTGCTTCGCGTTGCATGTCATCCGCACCAGTGCAGTGTTCTTCCCTTTGTATGCTTGTTGCAATGACCCTGCTGGAATGTACTGCAGGACTATACCTCTACGGCGGGGGGTGATCGGCTGCTGTAGCATGTAAAGATTTTCCCGTGCAGCTGCAACAGAGGCCAACAACACTTCTGTGTATTTGTGGATCGCTGTTCCAAGTTGGCTGCTTGATTCAACCTTGAAATAGTTCTGAGACCGTGAGTGGCAAATAGAAAGTTTGCGCTCACACACATGATATGAAAATTACATAAACGCTTCGTGCCTCTTCCAGCAACCCTGAAAGCAAGCAGAGCTCCGTCCCCAACACACACACACATGCACATACAGACACGAGAAGCGCCGCTTCCGTGGCAACAGAGAGGCGCGAAGCGATCTTATTGCTGCTCCTGCGCTGGAGACGATTCTGATCGTCTTGGGGCAAGCTTTGCTGAGCATGGCTTCGCCTTCTAAATTGCTTGATGCTGGATCTTCCGCCAAATTGTATGGCACAGCAAGGTAGATGGGAGATGTGGTTCCTGTCAATGGCAAGCTACGTTTCAACTCGATCGCTTTGCACAGGGTACGTGTGTCTCATCTCCGGTCAGACCTCTAATCGGATTTTGGCTGTGTCCCGAGCTTGCAGCACTTGGCTTCGCAGTCCTGTGCGCTGCTTTGATGGTAGGACACTTCGCGGAAGCCGTTCGAGTTGGCACGCGGATTTAGCTGTAAAGGAAGCAGTTGCTCTCATGTCTGGAAACTGCTGACGCAGTGGTCCAGACGATCAAGAGAGTCCACGTTCGACAAAGCTCTGATGAGACGAAGGCTAGATAGGACAATTTGGAGGTCTGATCCTGTAGCACAGGAAGCTCATGGTCAAGCGACGAAGGTCGTCTTGGCCTGAGCCGTGTGCATGTTGTGGCAACAGGAGGAGACCCATCAGCGGCAGAGCTCTGGTTTTCCATGTGACACAGCAGTGCCATACTCTCTGATCGTAAGCACCCATTTCCGCACCTGTGTGTGCAAGTGTTTGTGCATTGTTGAAGTGCTCGTGTGTTGAAGTGCCCGCATTGCTGTGATTTTTCCACTGTCGCTTGAAGCCATTTCCTCCCAACCTGCCCTGAGATTTTGCAGAGACAGCTGGTGTTTTAGGAGCTCGAGGATTTTAGGTGAAGTGGGATGGTAAGTAATGGCATCTTGGTTTGTGACTACTCGCAGCGGTCTCGCCTGTACAGCATGCTACTGGGGAGGATGCCGGTGTAGTGCAGTATAGTTTGCACACGGCATAGTGGCAGGAAGAGCTGTGAAAGTGTTTTGTAACTGCTGCTGCTGCTGTATCCGTGTTTCACCTGCATCAAATTTGCGAATGTACTTAGATTGTTGTATTTTTCGATGTGGCTACACTGCTGCTTGACGCGAAGACGTAAGAGACAAGCGCAGGACTTGGTCGGTGGAGACGATTGTTCAGACTGTTTAAAAGGCCATGCATCCGATCTCACGTCGTGAGTAGCCTTTGCCATGCAGCCTGCAATGCAGTCTGCACAACATTTTTTCTTCAGATTGGCTTTCACGTTGGCTCAGAGCAGTCCTGGCAATAGACAGCTTCGACAGCTATGAACGGATTCAGGTTGATGTCCGTCTGAGCGACATGAACGGACTGCAGAGACGAGTGAACCTGGCAATGTGTTTTAGGACAATCACGCCTGGGTGCAGCATGATACTGAAGGGAATTCAGGAAGCACAGTCGTTTTCTTCAACTGTATTCAAACAGCTCGTGCGTGCTGCCACGGCCAAGGCCACAAGCTGATCACTTGCTTTAGTTCCGTTCTTCATGTTGCTTGAGCTTGCATCATTGCAGCAGGCGCATGACAACGGTGGCGCGGCGCAGGCAAGCTGTTGATGGTGTAGAGGGAGATGCTAGCAGCTTTCAGCGTGAAGCGCTGCCAGTCACACGCCTTCTTTCCACCAGTGTGCTTTCTACCAACATGAGGCTGATACGGGACCTGAAGAAGCTTCAATCAGACCCGCCACAAGGCAGATGTTGCAATCGAGCATGAGATCACAGTTCGTCATGGTCGAAAGCAAGCCCTGTTGGACAGGGGTCAGTGCCTCTCCGGCGCAAGATGACATCATGAGCTGGACAGCTGTGATGTTTGGTCCGGTGCTGCCGGCTGAGTTGAGCTAAAAGCGGAGTTTTTGTCGACGTACATGGTTGTATGTATAAACTGCGATCGTACGTATGCATATATGTATATTGTATATACATATATGTACATGTTTACATGTGTTGTTTTGGTACAGCACCCTTCACAACTCCCTGCCTCTACACATACGTTTCGACTCGAAGCCCACACGCGCCAGCGGGGTTTCAGCACAACTAAGCGTAGGTTAGTACGGTCAGCATGTATACTCAAACCTAGACTGTTCTGGCTTGTATAATGACTGTGTTGTATTTGCATGATACCGCGTCTCACGTAAGAAAGAGTCGGTACGAATATAGAATAGAGACGGTGAGGTGCAGCTTCATCAACATTCGAGGTGTTTGTTCATCTCATAGTGCTATTACAAGAATGAGACATACGACATGAGTGCTCTTTGAACAGAACAGCAAAGAAGAGGCCACTGGGCTTCCCCTCCCTATAAATACAACCGATTTACTCCAAACTCTTTTGGAGCATGACTGTGTATGATTTCCAGCCGTGAGCGCACACAAAACACAGAGTCCTACTGAAACTCAGCTGGGACGTACGATGAAAGGTCAAAGGTGTGCTGAACAAGTTTTGCTCTTTCTCTCTCTATATATATGTTTGATCCCTTATGGGTTTCAAAAGAGATGCTGTACCATCTTTGGTCGTGCTAACAACTACTTGGGATCAAAGAGTAGCGACCAATGATGCCCCGGATAAAACTGTCCGCAAATTTGAATGCCGGGAGAGTGCCAGTCGAAACTGTAGAAGACCCGAATTTATTATTCTGAACTCAACCGAAGCTCCCAATCAGGAGGTCAAAGATGCACCGAGAAAGTTCCCATCCCATATATATGTATATATATGTATATATAGCTGTATATATATATATATAATAGATATCTACATACATCTTTGAGCCCGTGTGGGTTTCAGTAAGACGATTGCATTCTACTGACCTATAGTAGAACCCATCCAGAGCCCAGGATGAGGGGTCAAAGATGTGCACTGAGATATACAGTTTTACACTGAGACCAGGTGGGACCAATGACATGATCAAAGATGTATCGAGCGAGTTGTTCGCCGAGTGTTCCAATGTTAAGTTCACTCTGAAGTCATATTGAACGAGTACTTTGCTTCGCTTCGAGTATTTACATAGAACTTGCCCAAGCTAACAACTGTCTGAATACACTCCTGATGCCTGGTTCCTGTTCAACACTGAGCTTTGTTACCAGGTTAGTATTTCGTTTCACGAATTGGCTTCAACATGTTAATGTCGCGCAGTATTCAGCAGTATTTAGTCACAAGTACACTTGAACACAACGTGCATGTTCAACCATGTTTGATAAACCCATGTTTCGTCATTATTCGGTTTATCTTACCTAGTGATACATTGATACTAAATATCTTTGCCAATTCATCATTATGACAAATAGCAGTCCAAAGCAGTATGCGTAGTTGCTAGTGAACACACAGGGGTGTTTATGTTACATGTTCCAAAGGCGGTAGTACCTAACTTCTGCGTCATGAATGTTTATCAACCTGGATATAGATAATGCCGTGCAGATTCACTGTTCAATCTTCCATTAACCGCTGATCATGCTCAGAAGGTGTTCAGTGAATACCCATGAAGTATTATCCTCATCACTGTTGATCATTGTCAGAACGCGTTCAGTGAATATTCATGAAGGGACTGCCAGTGGAATCCGGCTAGGTAACCATGCCTGCATCTATTCCTTCGATAATTTGTACGCATATTCACGAAGGCGAATGTGTAGCTGAGCTATGCTAGCTTGCCCATGCGCATTACGCAAACAGGCTTCAAGCATGGTTACAGACAGGGAAGCTGCAGTCAGTTTCAGTTGAAAACCGGGGAGTAGGTGGCAACTAGTTTCAAGTTTGCACAAAGAGCGATCTATGCAGTACTCAGGCAGTACTCATGAAGGGTTTAACATTCAACCAGTATTTGTTCAGAACGGTTCAGACCTTGCTTGTGGGGAAAACAGTTCTTGGTGTATCGATGCAATGTGCAACCACATAGACATTTCCTTTTTTTTGCATCAACCTGTATTGAGTTTGAGTTCGTTGATATTCATATGAGCCCCGATTAGGATCGGATATGCAAGGTGTTTTAGGGTTTAACCCGTGCAGCCCTTTCTAGAATCATACATGGCGCTCATAAGCTGCAAGTAGTGTTCACAATCGAGATTCGATGTGCTGTCCTGTTGCGGTTTAAAGACCTTTGTTAACTAACTCAGTCAATGTGGGATCAATCGGGTTCCTGAGCAAGGCTCTGGCGATCCGAGGTAGGTTTTCACGAAGGAGAATGTACGTGCATATACATATATATATATATATATATATATATATATATATATATAAATCCTAGCCAGCCCTAATGACCAACTCTGGCTTCGTATGTTCTCTCACATGAAGTCATTCTTCTGGAACAAACGACAGTGAAGCCAACGAAGACTAGGAATACTAAGACTTAGATTCCTATGAATACAACTGTCCACATTTTTTGACACTAATACTAGTCTTAGGTTAATACTGAAACTAGTACTAATATTGATGTTTAAAGTAATACAAAGACGGACATGTCGCCAGGATGACACACCGTGGGAGGGCGGAACCTTCCAGCTTGAGGCGTGCCCGAACATAGGGACATGCTGTGAGCTCTACAGTTTCAACCAAAGTCTTTTTCTTTAATTACGCGGTGGATTATGCATTCTGTTGGAAGGTGACGTTTTCGGAGGAGTTCCCGACGAAGCCTCCACATGTAAGATTTCTGACGAAGGCCTGGTGGACCGCGTGGGCTTGGATTCGGATCATTTGCATCTGCCTTCTTTTGAACTGTCGATCACAGATGTTTCATCCGAACATCTACAACAACGGGGAGATCTGCTTGGACATCCTGCAGGAGTTGAATCGTCTTGGTCTGCCGTTAATCGCACTTTCTGCAAGTGTTCCTGTCGCCGGTAAGATCGAGATGTTGCAGCGGCTTGTTTTGGCTGCCTTTCGGCTTCGAGTTGATCTTTACGGTCCTGTCTGAGTCAAGCCCCTCAAGGGAGGGCGCGAATTCACAGTCTTAAGGATGTTCAGAGCGAAGCTAACCATGTGGAGCTTGAACACTGGCTCTCGGAGAATTTCACTTGGGATCTGTTAGGTTGAGAGTGAGGGCGGCACGTAGTGATGTAGTTCAGCAGCGTGCTGTGTCGTTCACAGTCTTTGGATAGCCATGTCCGATTTCTCCGTTGATTTCACGAAGAGCTATGCGCGGAGAAGGCCGGAAGAGCCGGCGGCTCGGGACGGTCCTCAAAATTCAGCAACGCTCGACCATGTGAGACTCAGGCCTCGTTCGCACTACTCCCAGCGCCTCAAGTTTATCAACACTCTCATCAAGGGACTTAAGCTCAGAGCGCGTTTGAGAACGATCTGAGGCCTCTCATGTGTCTGAGCACCGCATGTCAGGTGAGGGTGACAAAATCACGGATGATCGCATTGAGGTTCTTTCTCACTGCCGCGCCGACACAGTTTTGGAGCACATCTTCCAGAAGGGGACTTTTTTGCATTTGCGAGCGCAGAAAGCAGGCTATAGCAATGTCAAGTACTTGGCTAATGCAAGAGCCCAAGTTTTGCGCATTGGATGAATAGTTATGCTTGACATCGCTGTGCTAAGCTGATGCATCCAAGGTGTACAACGAGGAAATCATGGGCATGTTGCGGAAGTACGTCGCTTCGATGAGAGATGCATTGCTGCTCAGCTGTCCCCGTGCGGAGAGGGCAAGCTTGGGACACTGAGGATCCGGAAATACAATGACGACAAGGCCAGCTCGTGATGTTCAGAACGTAGCCTCAGAGTGTCAGAGCACAGAGCCGTGCAGAGTCGCAGTGTGTAATTCCATTGGGTGCCGCCTCGAGGCTCACACGGGCCCTTAAGGGGCAAGAGCTGTAGTGCCGCATTGGCTGCTTAAAGAAACGATTGATCCATACGTAGGTGCTCCCTAACAATTGTCGTGAGACGGTGTTCTTCCGTTAGTTCTTTCTGCGCTCGTGTGTGGGAACCCTTTTCGAAGTGGATGGCTCCTCTATGACTCCGACGCGAGCTGCAGTGAAGCCGTCTCTGCCACTCTCAGCTCGAGATCTAGCTCGCCGTGCTCAACGATCGGAGCACATTGCGGAACTACCTGAGGTTGCATCTGCGGTCCTACCGCCACACCTGAGTTTTCTTCGCACTCAAAGAAAACAGGCGGAGGATGTGAGTGCTCACGATTTTTTCCAGAGGCAAGATCTTCATCAAAAGATGAGTTCTTTGGCTCTGTCAGACCACTTCGACAATTTTGGTAAGTGCCGTTTCCAGCGACTGGGATTGGCATTTGCAGCCAAGCAGTTTACTCCGAAACCTGTGGCCCCTCACAGGTCGTTAACTGAGTCACTGACAGACGAGACAAGGAAGCCTTCTGCGAAGGCGTTCATCTTGTCACAGGAGGCACTGGCTGCGGACTTCGAGCGTTGGAGTCAGCACGCCCGTGGGATTTCTGATTCAATCAAGGAGGCCGACCGCCACAAAGATGCTGATGTCAAGAAGCGGCAATCCGACATTCTGTTTGCGGAGCTGCCTTATTATTTGGAGTTCCTTCCAGAATCGGTTCCGCTTGAGAGTCTGGAGGCTGAGATGGATCGGGAAAGGTCCTCTAAGCCTGGCTTTCCCCGCCGATGGCCAAGTCAATCCAGAAAGTTTCGACGAACCGAGTCGCAGGCTCTTATCGAGATATTCAGGGCATGGTCCTTTGCTTCCTGGCCCCTGGGTGGTGCAGAGCTGGGAATGGATCGTGCCACATTCTCTCGATTTGTACTGGATGTTGGGCTCGTCGACCAGCGCAAGGTTCCGCTCTATTGGAGTTTATCCCTTTTTGACTGCCTGTCGCACACCACGCGTGTCTGTGCCAAAGATGATCCGATTCCCATGTCCGCACCCCTTCTTCCAATGGTGAAGTGGTGGGACATGCTGGCGATAGTTGAGGTGTTGACTTGTCAACATTTTCGTACGTCAACCACAGCACTGCGGGTCAAGTTCGTTGAGAGCGTTGCGGAGATATCCAGATTCCGGCTTCCAGCCTATGCTCTCAAGGCCTTCAACATTAGTCAAGCCCAGATCGAGCTGGTGCTTCAAGGCGTCAAGGCCGACTCGAATGAAAGCGATGATGAGGCGAAGGGACACCAGGACCCTCCACAAATGCAGAGTCCAGGTTCTTTTTCTTTTGCCAGCCTCAGAAGTCTAGTGCGCGAGTCGTCAGGAGATGCCTTCAAAAGCTGTTGAGTCCAGGACCTGCCAGACTGCAGATGCAGATCAAGCATCATTGTTAGTGACGTGAATTGCAAGCCGATGTTAGCCACGATTACAGTCCTCTTTGGATTAGAAGGTAGTTCAGTTCTTCTTGGAGGAGTGGGAACGAAGCGAAAGAGTTGGTCGTGCACACAGAATACCCTGATGTGTGGCCGCATCATGAGCATCTCGATCGGCCGTCCAACCGAGGGCGCTGCAAGCAAAGAACAAATGGTGAGAATGGAGGAGTTCGTCAGCGTTGTCCCTCTGTCCAACTCTCTTCGCCTGCTATCTATGATTTTGCAGGAGGCACGTGGACAGCGACAGAAAGGAAGCCTGGTGGAGCCTGAGGTTCACAGTAGGCCATTCATTCGTTGTAAGAGGACTCTTCAGTGCTTCCAGATCTGTCAGGTGCTTCATCTTTTGTGGCAGCATGAGGCTGTCTTTCAAGCCCTCCACGCAGCATATGCGGACCATGAAGGCGCGATGGGCAGCCTGCCAATGCCTGCCCTCTTGACGTCCGATCCGTCGGCCCGTCGGCCAGACAGAGGCCACATGACCTTCGCTGCTCTCACACAACTCTGCAAAGACTTTTCTCTGGCCCGTCTCCAAGATGCAAGCGGTGCCAACAGTTTCTGTCGGCTCGGTTGTGGCTCCGACGTGCAGGCACCGCATCTAATCAGTCTGCATCAACTTCGCAAGATCTATGAGCTCGCAAGCCCAGATGAGTTTCGTACTCTGGATGCACCGGTTAGGCAGTCGAGTGATCCATGCATGAGGTCAGCCGAATGCCTGGACACGACAACTGGTGCGCCTGCGAGGCATCAAGCGGCATCAAAGTGTCCGGGTTCGTTTTCCGGTTTTGCCTTCCAGGATCGAGTGCTTGGGCGCTGCTCCCAGTTATTGTATGCCGGACGCCTCTCAAGTGGCTCTTGGTCAGGCCAAGACTTCAGTCTCAAGAAGGGGCGTGGTGCCAGCCCTTCGCGATCACCGCAAGTCTGAAGCTCAGCTTTGTAATCTTGCGACGAGTGCAGGCGATTTGCGTGTCGCATGCGAGGCTTCTGGGAGGCGACGCTCAGTTTCTGCCTCTACCACCCCGACACACTCCGTCACTGGTATGCAATTCAAGGCTACTCTCCCGGCTTTGACACCGTTCTTTACGAAAGGCTAATTCGGGTTTAAGTCTCCCCAAACTAGAAGACACTTGGCCCGAAAGCATCATTAGCGAAGAGTTTAGCGCTACGTTGTAGAATCCAGTGCATAGAATTATAGAGTCATAGCGCGAAGTGCATCTAATTATGAAGTAGATGGCAATGCCGAGATCGATATTTTTGAAACTATGAACTTGTCTCTACATGTTTTACTCTGCGTTCCTCAGTCGATGTTGTCAAAGCTGTCGAAGCAGTGTATAAACTTAAGTTAAGTATATGAAGTCGACTGCATACGGCGAAGTGCATAGAGTCAGGTGCATAGGTCAGGTGAATAAGTATCTAGAGTCTTGGTGTCAAGTTGTTTCAGTGCAGCCAGGTCCGGTGGTCGGTGATCGTATTACAGTGCTGCGGTATCCTTGGTTGGAGCTGATCCAGCAGGGAAGACGGTAGAGATTCGATCGAGGCAGGTAAAGAAGAGTCCTCAGTATGGTAAGATGGTGCAACATGTTCACATCCCTTCGAGCAAAGCATGCGGGTCATACATGTGCAATGAGAAAGCCTCTGCAATCGACGTAGAGATTCCGAGCCTGAATAAGTCATCGAGCAGGCACCGGCGACGCCTCATTGCAATACACACTGACTCACGCAGGCCGTGACCAACGGCGGCGATTCCCCATGAAGCGTCCTGCTCGGCAATGCGCCGCGATAGAGCTTCCAACAACTCCGCTTTGGAAAATTTGCGCCCGGCTGACTTCTGCTGCGTATCCGCCAGCGACAGCGAGCCCACACGGCTGATCGCGAGTCCGCTTCCCGAGCTCGTCGCGGAGCCAGGCTTCTCCGTGCTCGGCACAGCCCTCTCGCAGCTCCTGCAGCTTTTGCTCCGACGCAGCAACAGCATCGACCTGACAGCAAAGACTTCACGTGAAAGCACGAAACATCTAACCTGGCCACGATACTGACGCTTCACTATATTACAAATTGACACAGACAATGATCAACGACATCGATTCCCCATGAAGCCTCCTCCTCGACAATGCACTGTGATAGGGCTTATACCAATTCCAGCTTGGATAGCGTGCGCCAGGACGAGCCCTCTCGCAGGCCGGCCCTTTCGCAAGACAGTGTCTAGTCAGGCAAAGAACCGTCCTAAGTATGGTGAGATGCTACAACGTATTTTCCCTTTCGAGCAGAGCGAGGCAGGTAAACAGCAGTCCTCAGCATGGTAAGATGCTGCAAGATATTTCTCCTTTCGAGCAAAGCATGCGGGTCATACATGTGCAGTGAGAAAGCCTCTATAATCGACGTAGAGATTCCGAGCCATAAGTCATCGAGCAGGCACCGGCAACGCCTCATTGCAATGCAAACTGACTCACGCAGGCAGTGATCAACGACAGCGATTCCCATTGAAGCGTCCTGCTCGGCAATGCCCCCCATATTCTGCTGCGCATCCGCAGCGACAGCGAGCCCACGCAACTGATCGCGAGTCCGCTTCCCGAGCTCGTCGCGGAGCCAGGCTTCGCCGTGCTCGGCACAGCCCTCTCGCAGCTCCTGCAGCTTTTGCTCCGACGCAGCAACAGCATCGACCTGACAGCAAAGACTTCACGTGAAAGCACGAAACATCTAACCTGGCCACGATACTGACGCTTCACTATATTACAAATTGACACAGACAATGATCACCGACATCGATTCCCCATGAAGCCTCCTCCTCGACAATGCACCATGATAGAGCTTATACCAATTCCAGCTTGGACAGAGTGCGCCAGGACGAGCGCTGCGGCACGACCACACAGCTAATCGCGAGTCCGCTTCCCGAGCTCTTCGCGGAGCCAGGCTTCGCCGTGCTCGGCACAGCCCTTTCGCAGCTCCTTCAGCTTTGCTCCGACGCAGCAACAACATCGACCTGACAGCAAAAACTTCGCGTGAAAGCACGAAACATCTAACCTGGCCACGACACTGACGCCTCACTATATTACAAATTGACACAGACAATGATCAACGACATCGATTCCCCATGAAGCCGCCTCCTCGACAATGCACTATGATAGAGCTTATACCAATTCCAGCTTGGACAGAGTGCGCTAGGACGAGCGCTGCGGCACGCCTGCAGCGGCAGCAAGCCCACACAACTGCCTGGTAGTTAGTTCCCGAAGCTCCGCACGGAGCCAGGTTTCACCGTGCTCGCCAAACCCTCTCGCAGACCATTCAGCTGCTGTGGCGGCAACGCCATGGTACTATGTACTCCTACTACTACTACTTCTACTACTGCTACTACTACTACTACTACTACTAGTATTACTATTACTACCATCTACTAATACTACTATTACTACTATTTTACTACTATTACTATTACTACTCTTACTACTCTTACTACTCTTACTACTATTACTACTATTACTACTATTACTACTATTACTACTATATTACTACTATCACTACTACACCTTCATGCGCAGCAAAAGTGTTAACTTTACCTCGCGTTCGAACACTCGACAACGCCAATCTCTGTGAAAGGTTGCAAATTTCACCTCAATGCACATCAAAAGTGATAACTTTACCTCGCGTTCGTGCGTTCGACCACGCCAATCCCTGTGAATGGTTGCAAAATTCATTTCAATGCACATCAAAAGTAGCAACTTTACCTAGCGTTCGTGCATTCGACCATGCCAATCCCTGTGAAAGGTTGCAAAATGCCAATCCCTGTGAAGGGTTGCAAATTGCACCCCAATGCACCTAAAAGCGCTTCAAAGTAGCAACTTTACCTCGCGTTCGCGCACTCGATCATGCCAATCCTTGTGAAGGGTTGCAAGTTCGTGCACTCGACCACGCCAATCCCTGTGAAGGGTTGCAAATTGCGCCTCGAAGCGCATCAAAAGTAGTAACTTTACTTCGCGTTTGGGCGCTCGACCATGCCAATCCCTGTGAAGGCTTGCGCGGCGCGCCTATTAAGTTAAAAAATGTGTAACTTTACCTCGCGTTTGAACGCCCGAGGAGGCGAATCCCTGTGAAGGGTTGCGCGGCGCCCGAAAAATGTGTAACTTTACCTCGCGTTTGAACGCCCGAGGAGGCGAATCCTTGTGAAGGGTTCACGGCGCCCGAAAAATGTGTAACTTTACCTAGCGTTTGGGCGCTCGACCAAGCCAATCCCTGTGAAGGGTTGCGCCGCGCGCCTACTAAGTTAAAAAATGTGTAACTTTACCTAGCGTTTGGGCGCTCGCCCATGCCAATCCCTGGGAAGGGTTGCGCGGGAATGTAGAAATGTGTATCTTTACCTAGCGTTTGGGCGCTCGCCCATGCCAATCCCTGGGAAGGGTTGCGCGGGAATGTAAAAATGTGTAACTTTACCTAGCGTTTGGGCGCTCGAGGTGGCCAATCCCTGTGAAGGGTTGCGCGGGCACCGCAAAATGTGTAACTTTACCTAGCGTTTGGGCGCTCGAGGTGGCCAATCCCTGTGAAGGGTTGCGTTCCCGATGGACGACGACGGTGCCACCCTTGGCTTTAGAAGAGAGATTAGATACCGAGATGTAGAGAGTATGTAGAGAGGTAGATAGTAAGTCAGAGAGTAAGTCAGAGAGTAATCAGAGAGTAAGTCAACTCAGAGAGTAAGTCACAGAGTAAGTCACAGAGTAAGTCAAGAGTAAGTCACAGAGTAAGTCACAGAGTAAGTCACAGAGTCATAGAGTAGTCAAGTGAGTAAGTCACAGAGTTCTCAAATTCATAGAGTCATAGAGTCATAGAGTAGTCAAGAGTAGTCAAGTTCGGTCTTAGAGTCATAGAGTCATAGAGTCATAGGGTCATAGAGTCGTAGACTCAAGTGTCAAGTCATAAGGTCATGTGCTCGATTCTATGTTTGTCATCTATGTGCTTGTCTACCCGGCTCCGCACGGAACAACCCTTCGCGACGCTTTCGGGAACAAACCCTAGGCGCTTAGCCTTGTTGCCGCTAGTTCGTGTTGGCAAAGTCGGTTGGCTAACTGCACATCAGCCAGGCAGCCAATCAGCCCATCAGCTTAGCAAAGGGAGGAACGGTTTAGGGTTTCCGGGGATTTAGGGTTTAGGGTTTGGGGGGAACGGCTGATCGGCCGATCGGCGTGGCACGATTTGAGGCCCAACAGCACGCAAACTGCACCTAAAACCTGAAAAGCGTGAGGACAGTGTGCGGTCGGCGAGGCGCCAGGTTCTCGGACAGGCCGTGCGGCCTCGCTGCATCGGTCTTGGATCATTTGGACACTTAGGCCCTTCAGATGTCAGCGGCCTGAGGAACAAGAGGTCCATCCATGGAGTTTGTCCTCTGCCGTGCTTTTTGGTCTAGAGGTGAGGTGCACTTCACGTTACCGGCAGGTCAACGATCGTGAGCCTCGGCAAGATCAATGCGAGGCATGCAGCCGTGTCTGATTCGCCATCCCAAAGCCGACGGCGCTCGATAGAGGCAGAAGCGGACACCACAACTATTTCAATCTCGTTGTCACGGTCCTGTGGCAGGGCAGCAGCATCTCCGGGCACTCAGCCAATGACCGCCTGGGGCCGCTGTCTGAGTTCTGCCAGAAACTTTGCACCAGCCTGATTGCACAGACATCGGTTAGTTCTTAACAGGTCAATGCTTCCTTGGGAGCGTCTTGTTCTGAAGGTGCGCGAGGCCAGGCCACCAGGGACGCCAGAGCATTGTCGGCCGTCCCATCATTCCTAGTGCCAGCGAAACTCTGAGGCGAGCTCTCGACTGCAAACCACCGTCTCCTCGGTTGGTTTCCAAGCCCCGCACCAAGCAAGGCTGCCACACAAATGGTTTCCGTTCTGATGTTTTTGATTCCCGTCATGATTCAAGCAACACGCAGAGCAAGGGGCGTCAATCTGTGCTCATCCTCAGTCGCATCTCTGCCTCATGATAGACTAATTCTCGTCCGTCGTTCCGCATGTCGCGCGAGTGACAGCATATCCGAGATGTAGTCTGCAGAGCTCCAGACGAGTAGATTTTGATCAGCAGCTTGTGAATGCAATTCCATGTTCCACAGTGAGCCAAGGCGCTGATGGAGATCCTTTGCAAGGTAGGTAGTCTTTCATTGTCGAATTTAGCTTCGCCATACCTGCAAATGTTTGATGGTGTTCCGATCTTGTGCTGAAACTGTGCCAGGTCGCCTACACTTACCTGGGCTGTTACGGAAACATGCAACAAAGAAGCCAGTGCCTGAGCCTGGACAGCAGAGGCTTGGGTCTCGCTGATGTGTAGCAGTGTATCAGGCATGTCTCCTCTTCTCCAGACGGTGTGGCTGCTGGTGTACTTGTTGAACGCTCAGCCAAAACGGAGCCCTAGACTCCCAGCTCCGCTCACCGCGCCTGAGGCGCTTCTCCACGGAGAGCTATAGAAGGAGCCTTGAGAAGCGATCAGAGGCACGTCTTCTAGTGCGATGTGTGCTTTGTGCGTGTTTTATCTTTGGCTCTGCGGCGTGGTCTTACTGAAACTGAGCCTGGCGCAAGGATGCATACTCCGCAGCATTGCGTCGAATTACGCCGCTGCTGTTTCTGGTCTGAACTTATCATTTGCTGACAGGGCCCGCTTGCGTGGCCTCGGCATCGATCCTGCACGGCTGCTAGACAGGAATCCAGAAGTTTGGGCGATCGCCAAGGCTCCACAGTTTGAGGAGCGACATTGAGATGCTCTTTGCAGCGCTTTTGAGTCCGACCACCTGCAGCTGCTGCGGTAGGACGACTTGCCACCACAAACATTCCGCGATCTTGCGGCAGCCTCCCCTGAGGCAAAAGCGGTTGATTCCTTTCGAGTGATTGAAATCTGCTCCTGACCCTAGTAATTGAAATCATTGGTTCGACCATTCGAAGGAAGGTGCAACAACCCGGTTTTCTCTGCATCTTCTGTCAGGTTTGACAATAAAAGACCTTCAGAGGCTCACCAAAAAACGCGCATTGTTCCTTAATGTATTGGGATGGTTCTGCTTTTCTATGTTCTTGTTGTTGGTTCCCTATAGTGGATGCAGTTGCAAGAGACATGTAGTGGACAGGCGGGAGCCCTCTGCATTGCAGATGAGACCTGCCAGTTGTGCAACGTGTCGGCAAAGAGTAAGAGGAGTTGGAGAAGTATTGCATGTCGGTTGCACAGCGGCTGAAAGGTCGCCATGGTTCAGATCAATTACTTGTTAAACATGGGCATAGGCTGTTGTCCAAACTTCGCACATGACTGCATGTCTTTCGCCTCCGAACTATATTCCTGAAGCTCATGCTCCGATGCTGAAAGGGCATGGAACTGGGGGGGAGCTGGAGGGAAGTTTAGCAGAGGGGTGGTGTTGCCCGATTCGAGATTCGAGAATCGGTATCGAGAGTACATTCTAGTTCAAGCAATGGCGGATCCGATGCAGAAGCCGAGCCTTAATTCAACAAGGGTTTGGGGTGGTCGGGGGTGTCGGGTTTCTAGGGTATGGAGATTTGAGCGTGTCGGCTTTAGATTTAGGGTAGCAGTTTAGGGAGCCTGTGTGAAGTAGGGGTTGAATTGGTGACAGCAGCGGTGGTGGTACTAGTGGTACAGTCGTAGAGGCAGTAGAAGTTGCAGTGGCAGTACAAGTAGGAGTCAGTCGTGGTGGTGGTGGTAGTAGTGGCAGCATAAGACGGGGGATATGGTGTTTCGGGTCATGGAGGGTTGGGGCATCATACGTGGGCAGTAATATCTACAGGCTTAACGCGCAAAGCTTACCAGAAGCTTGTAACAAGAAAGCCATCCAAGCATAAGGAAATGCAAAACCCCTTAAATTTTAGCCGCTTTTGTCATCCCTCCCCCAACCTTAAGGTCCATCTGTTTATGCAACATGGCGACTTTGTCTTTAAGCGGCCGAGTGGTTCAATGCTGCTATGTGTTTCTCCCAAATGGCCGAGTTGTTGCCAATGCAGGGACATTCCGGAAGTCACTGAGGTCGGTGAAGGTACGATGATACGACAAAGGGGTATCTGTATCTAGGCCAGTGTCAAATAACGACCGAGCTCTATCGACTCTTCTTTTTGTTCCCTTAGCTTTCGTGGCTGGCCGTACCTCTAGCAGTGCCACAGCCACAAGCACCACCACTACAAGAAGCTGCCTTTCCGCAAATGGATTTCAACTGGTTGAGGCAGTAGAGATGGCAGTTCCAGTGGCTGTAGCAGAGGCAATAATAGTAGCAGTTTCAGTTGCAGTGGAGCAGAAGCAGCAGCAACAGTAGTAGCACTATACTAGTGGTAGTAGCATGTAGTAGTGTAGGGTTTTGGGTCACGTTCAGATCACATGCCCCGCGCGAAATCCGAGGTGCAAACGAACGTATGTCAGTGCACGAATGTGTCCATCATGATGCGATGTGGGAGTCTTCCTTGACCATGCGTGGGTCGGTTCCAGTGCCTGAATCGGTGACGTACAGTGCCATCGAAAGCCCCCGAACATGTTGACTACCTACCTGCGGGCAGTTGCGTGGATCTCCACGTGACCATCTGCACACGAAAAACCACAAAGGCAAGGCTCATGTACGACATGATGACTGGGGCAACGTGAGGCATGGGCCGAGGGTTGCCTTGCCATCCTGACCATTCTCATTTGCCTAAGTGTACATCAGGTGCTTCGCTTGTTCCAAGATTGACGTGCTTGCCTTCAAGCCTTGGCCATAAAGCTTGGATGCCTCTGAAACTGCACAAGAGCAGCATAGGCATTCCTCCATGCATGCTGAAGGCATCATCCTCTGCGTTTTCTGATTCGAAGACCTTGGGACTCCAAATCTGTCTTTGCCTCAGGATGCGGAGTGTCTTCGTTCTGGATGTGTCCCCCTGCGCTGCCAGGTCGTGATTGCAGGAAAGGTGCCGAGGGTGCTGGCCTCAGCATGTTCTGGCAAGCTAAAAACGTCGCTCGCAGAAAGCCGGAGTCTTTTTCATCGCATGGTTGAATGTACTGAAAACATCCAGGTTCGGAACATATCCTTGACTCCGCCACCTTTCAAGGTCCGCAAAGCATAGTTTCACTCAGTAGCATGCGATCGCATCACGAATTGAAGGACAGCAACGCGCTGCGGCCAGAAAGCTCCGAAGAGGTGACCTGTTTTGAGGACGCACTTGAGGCGTGCAAGTGAAGCGCTCGCAGGCTCCGGACCAGAGCCAGAGCTTCCATCCTTCGTCGTCTTCTTTCAGTGCCGTTCTCAGTGGATTGCGATCACGCTGAGGGCTGTGCCGGATGGCTCTCTCCAACAGCTTGAATCTAACAGCTGCTTGCTGGGGGGCCGTGCCGTTGGCACGCGACAAGCATTATGGAGGCAGTCGCATGTGGACGGGTTGGGCACAGCCGGGATTCAACCTTCATTGAAGCATGCCATGCCAACAATCGCAGTTTGACGTTGATTGGTGCATCTCGTGTTGGCTTGAATTGAAGCTTGACGCAGCATCAGGGTGCCAGTCATTAGCAGTGAGCTTTACGGTCAGCGTCGGTGTGGCTAAGGCGATGCTTGAGAGTCTTGACGAAGTCAAAAGCTTGGTCATGGCTAGGCGATGCTGAATACCAGTGTGTCCAATGCCATGCTGTGCTAACTGCTAACGATGCCGTGCCGTAAGGCCGTGCAAATGTGTAGAGACGTGTACCATCCCACCGGATGCACGAAGTGCATTGTACAGGTCACGGTTAGGTCAGTCCGTGCTTGAAGCGCCGCCCTCATCCGTCGCAGCAATGCGCACGAATGTTATAAGGGTCGACATGCGCGAAGGCGTTGAGATGGATCGCTGAATGTCGCGGACAATGAAGATACTCAAGGGCCAGTTTTTGTTCCGATATCGGCATCTGTGCAGAGAACATGTCCGAGACGTGAAGTAGTGTACCGAATCGGGCCAGCTCATCGGGCTCAAAGTGCTCCAGTCCGTAGTGGACCTGCAAGTGCCCCCCTTCAACGAACGGCTCGGTGTCTCTCGGCTGCCCATGGCCTGGGAATTCTGTCATGTGGAGGACCTTCATTGGCATGCCCGGCATAAGGACCTCGGCTCAAGGGTAGGGCAGACATGGACCATCAGTTAGTCATGTCATGTCAAAACTCCCGGACCAGTAAGGGGGGCAGAAGCAGCGACTCTTGCGATGCGATTGATGTGGCGCCTTGCCGTCCTCCTCGGGAGTCTTCAGGCATGGAAGAGCAGCAAAGCCTTGAAATCCTTACAGCTGGTGGCAGACTTTACAGTATGCTCCTTATAAGATATCGTTTATTCGAGTCGCCTGCAACTTGCCTTTTGTTCTTCCGAATGCCGCAGCAGCAAGTCATTGAACTCTGATGCCGATGAACAACATCAATCAACGTGACAATGTCATAATGTCGGAAATCTCAAACAGGAATGACTATCCAGCGCCGGATTCACTACGGCTGAGCTTTAGGCGAGTGCATCATTGACAAGTCTTCTTTTTTTTTTTGTACAATCATCGCGCCTGGCATCCCCGATGCATAATGCCAATATATGCAGGCATCTGTCCTTCGGGTGAAGGATTTCAAGCTCGCGCCAGATTCGTCTTGAAATTCTCTCGACTTGTCCCATTTTCCTGATCACCCTTTGCCTGGTCATTCGGCTTTTGCCGACCAGGGGGAAGACATGTTTATTGCTTTAACTAGTCTTGAGCTGTTTGCTGCATTCCTTCGTGTAGCTGCGACAGCTACACATCTTTAGCAGCGCGTTCCTTCGCCGTGTTTTCTTCAAGCTGCTCTGAAGAGGCGACTGCCCAGAGCGTGCCTGGCGATGTTCCTATAGGCGTGATCGAAATCATCGCTGGAATAGAGCTCAGAACTGGCCTCTTGTGAGGTTGGTCGACAGACTATGTGAGAAGCCTCACGCAAAAGCGAGTCCTACTTTGGGGTGCAGATCAGGCTGCTGCCATAGCGGATGCGCAGGCGAACTCAACAAGTCGTTTCGGATGGTGTGATGAATGCCAGATGATACAGTTTGTGCAACACAGTTGCTGCTTGACAGGCCGCTTATAAGCGGTGTGCTCGTCTGCTTCTGGTATGCAGCAGCCACGATACCATGGAGGAAGCTCAGCGTCTTGTAGGATCAAGCAAATGCCTGCTGGCTGCGCGCAGGATGTCATCGCGCAGGTGACAAGCGAGGAGCCGATAGCAGGAGTGACTGTGGCCAGAGCTGTGTGCGGCAGCCAGTCTACATGTCGTGGTGTTGTTCAGGAATCTGTCCACCTCTCACTGCCCCGATTGCGATCGGTGCGGCAGGCTCGGGCCACATGGCGAGTGGTGCTGGGCACACATAACTTTCTGTTGCGAGATATTGGAGGGGTTCTTATTGATCCCGAGGCACGGTGGGCAACGCCTCTTTTGTACTGGAGCTTACCGGCAGATACCAGGACTTGTCTCGCCCGCGTTTCAACGATGAAAGTCCTTCCTGCTAGCAGTCCTTGATGAAGGAGATTGGTGGGCCGCCGGATATTGTTTGGAACTATGTCTAAGCATGCGCAGAACCTCGTGGATGCGTTGCCTGGCCATGCCAGCCGCCCACGACGGAACCCTCACCACGGCTTTAACAAAACTGCTGTATTCCGACGAAGGCGACGTAGAATTCGTCAGTATTCGCTACGGGCGCTGTGCTGTTAAGCAGCATGGCCTCTGCGATCCTGGGGGCCGTCAAATGTTTTTGGGCTCCTGAAACGTCTCTTGCATTTTGGTAGGTGCATGGACCAAGCTTTCTTGATGCTTGCGTGCAAACTCATGCTGTGCGTCTTGGGCCCGCAGACCCAAGGCCAGGCCTGTTCCGTAATGTACATCCGTCCGAGTGTGGTGTGCAAAGTGTTGTTTTCTTGTAACTTCGGCTTCGTATTCATCTTGGGTTTGACGGGACCGCAGAGTACAGCATGCAGCATGATCTTGCAGCCGGCAGACTTGCACCCTGCTGACTGCTGCGGCTACCTTAAAATAACAGTAAACAACCTTTGTCCTCGGTGTGTTGGATCGACTCTGTTTGTAGAACAGTAACAGGGGGCCAAAGCAGTCAATTGTGCACCACTCTACTCACTACCCGGGAGTGCACTTGCCTCGGACAGGCCGGTATGGTCCTATCGAGGACGGAAACCCCCCCGCACCAACTGTTTGATAACTCCTCCAGCATCTTCAGCCTAGCATGCTGGCGCTTCCGGCTGGATGCAGGAGTGTACTTTACTCTTCTTGCGTACAATCAGCCAGCACGTCCAGTCTACACATGATTGGCCTGTACTAGTAGGCGGCACAAGCATCAAGCACGGCAAGAAACGGAGTGAGCTAGCATTGTTCGCATCATGCGTTGACTTGCTGCAAGTCAGCCCCGAGAAGCAGCGAATGCAAGGTGCTGGGACTCCGATGGGGCGCGGCGCTGGAGACTGCGATGCAAGTCTCGTGTGCAAAAAAAGGTTGAGAAAAGCATTTGCTTCGCGAACAAGCACAGACCTCGGAGCGCATCAGGCAATGGTCAGAGATCGCCAATCAGGGTCCTGACAGGTGGATGGCGAGCATCTCCTGTCGTCGTCGTGTGCATTCCTCGGCTTCCGCATTTGAAGCGTTCGCCATTGTTCACGGATTTGTGTTGCTTTTCTGACTGAATGAGTGGCTCAGCATGTGTGAAGACTCTGCAGCATACATGACTAGCAAGCAAGCCCTGCGCACTAACAAGATCTCGCAACTGTTCGCAGAGAAATGGCAGCGCCTCAGCTCAGCACGTTCTGGATGATCAGGGAAAAGCTGTATTTTAGCAGAAGCTCCTCATGCAGCAGCGCGCGTTTGTTGAAGAGTGCCGGGAACCCACAACATTGTCAACTGGTGACGGAAGACTCCACATTCCAGCTTTGCCTAGGTTCTGCAGACGTCACATGGACTCGGCTGTGACGGAGCTTGTGGAAGCAGCTGCAAACTCAAGCTCGTTTTAACATGAGTCTGTGGTAGACACTTGCACATGAGGTGCGGGCAGATGTACGTGCACGCCTGCTGGACTTGCTAGATGAGGCGTTGTGATGAAGCGGCGGCAGCCTTCTCCAGTTTATCTGGCAGATTTGCTTGCAAGGTTACTGGCCGCAAAGTCTTGCTCCTAGATAGCACAATTGCTCGAGCCTGAGGTAGATATCCGGAGTCGAGGTTAGTCCTAGGAAGGGGCAGAAAAGGTGACGCATTGCCTAGCACAAAGGTTGGGCCTTTGGATCTCATCGTCAGCCCAAGCGATCTGAAAGATCATGGAGTCCAGCAATGGTGCGCTCCGGATGCAGTCCGTGGAGCCAGATTGCAAAGCAAGCTGTCAGGCACAAACTGTCCGACCAGACAGTCCTTGGCTCGGTGATATGGGCCGAGGCATTCCAGGCAGGGAAGCAAAGCAGCTCAGTTGGCTTTGAGGTCGCGGCAGACTGCTCACAGATGATATTCCTTGTGCGATGTGCTCGGATTGCCGGGGCCTCTTCCGTTGCAACTCGGGAAGGGTTGTGCAGTGGACTCAGCGGTCGGAGGAGCTTGTGGACATGATAGCGAAGCAGATCCTTGCGGATGAAAAGGAGCAGAAGGCAAAGATCGAGAATGCCGGTTTGAAACCTCCTGCCTGTCACTGTCACTTGTGCTCCGTTTGGCAGGAGCGCCTCTACGTGGCCGTGTTCGTGCCGAACAAAACGGAGGACGGATTGGAGACTGCCGGGCTCCAGGAATGCAGGTGCAAAGAAGCGACGAGAACAGCAACTATTGGTCATGATAGGAGAGAGCCTTCAGGCCAGGAGTCTTCCAGTGGCGGGGATGCACAGTGCAGAGTCTAGAGTCTAGATTTGGAAGGGGCAAGGTCTTTCCGGACATAGATGTCGCTCAGAAGGAATATTCACTCAAGAGGGGTTCCCACAATGCGATTGGCATCAGCAGCCCCAAGATGTGCCAGAATGTCTTGCTTTCAGGATAGCAGCTCCCTCCATGGGTACATCTGAGTACAACCTACAACAGCCTTTCAATCAGACTCTTGCTGTCTTGTCCTGTTCAGCCTGAGTCAAGACGGGAGCTGCCTTGTTGTTGTGTCTCTAGCTGCCTCGCGACTTGGCAAAGAGGAGTGCGTTCAACGTCTTGCTGCCAGCAATGCCAGCGCCCAATCAAAACATGATTGGTGCGGATTTTCGAGTCGTTCGACGATCTGACGAGGTAAAAGCCAATGTGCGCATCACGGAGTGTGCCATTCATCATTTTCCGTCGGACAAGG